CAAGGCGCCCAAGCGCAAGGCGCAGAACATCGGCTACCGCCTGGGCCACCGGCGCGCGCTCTTCGAGAAGCGCAAGCGCCTCAGCGACTACGCGCTCATCTTCGGCATGTTCGGCATCGTCGTCATGGTCATCGAGACCGAGCTCTCCTGGGGGCTCTACTCTAAGGTAGCGACGAGGGGCACTTGGTGGCGGGCGCGGGGATGGGACCCCGGCATGAGGTTGGCACTGGTTGGGGGCCAGTGGGGCTGTTTGCGCCAGCAGGTGCCCAATGGGGCTGTTGGCACCGKGCAGGGTCCAATGGGGCCCTTTGCAGCCACCGGGATCCTGGGGGGCTGTTTGCACCAGCAGGCGCCCAACGGGCACCGTGTGCAGGGAACCCAGGGGCCCGTTTGCACCGCGCAGGGTCCGGCAGGGCCTCCTGCACTAGCCAGGATCCCGCGGGGCCGTTTGCACGGGTTGGGCTTCACCAGGGCCATGTGCACCCAGGGGCGCCCAACGGGGCTATTGGGGCCCAGCGGGGTCCCCTGGGGCAGTTTGCAGCGGCGGGCGCCCAACAGGAGCCGCTCGCAGCCCTTGGGGTCCCGCGGGGCTCGCTCTGCCCGTCAGGACCCGCCGGCACCGGCTGTTTGCTCTGGCCGACGTGCGCCGGGGCGGGTCAGTGACCGAGCAGACAGGGAGTTTGCCCCCGCGGCCACCCCATGGCACGGGGCGTGGGCCCAGGCAGGCGGGCGCGGGGCCCCCCGCGCCGCAAGCGCCGGACAGGGCGCGAAGGCCGGGGCTCCTCGGCGAGCGGTGAAGGCCGCCATCCTCCTCCTCCCCAGCCCCATCTCCAGCTGCCTTTTTTTTTTTTTTTTTTTCTTTCCCGGGGACGGTGTCTTTTATTTATAATTCTCCCCCCACACAGCCCTGCCAGCGCCCGCTCCCCGCTTGGCAGCGAGATGAATAACTCTTTGTGTCGACATCTGTCAGGTTATTTATACCGCCGCAGCGAGGACACCACCGCGATGGGCGCCCGCGGGCGGCGCGGGGCTCCCGGGCTGCCGGAGGGGCCGGGGGGCGGCCGCCCGCGGGGGCGACGCCAGGGCGGGCAGAGGAGGAGGAGGAGGAGGAAGGATGCGCCCGGGACGCCCCCGCCGCGCGGGGATGCTCCGTGCGCTCCCGGTGCGGCTGGCCCGGGATGGGAGCTGCGAGAGCAACAGGGTGCCCGGCTCCCCGCGCCGCCGGGCGGCACGCGGCCGAGCCCGCCGCTCCCGGCACCCGCCGGGCATCTCGTGCCGGGAGCCCCCGGGGAGCGGGCGACGGCTCCGCGCCGGCCCCGGCGCGCTGGTTCGGGAGCGTGGGAGCCGCCGGCCGCTCTTCCTGCCCGGCCCCTGCGGAGCCGCCGGCGGGAGCAGTGGCTGCGTTGCCGCCCTTGCAGCCCCGCTGCCCCGGAGCACCTGCCGGCTAAAAATACCCGGCCCCGGGGCGGCAGGACGGTGCCCGCGGCCTTGGCGCGAGCCCGGCCCCGGCGTCGCTCGTCCGCGGCCCTTTCCCGTCGGCACTGCCAAGTCGCGGGAACAATGCGGCTCGCGGGCCCCTCCGCTCCCCCGGCCAAGGTTGTCCCTGCTCCGCCGCTAAATGCCAGGGAAAGAGCCCCCCACGAGGGACGTGGGGACAMGGGACGGGCTGCGGCCGGGGCGGGGATGTGTGATGAGCGTGTCGGGTCTCAGCGCGGGGGCGATGGGGTGGGCAGGGCCCCGTGGAGCATTCCCGGTGCCAGCGCCACGTCCCACGGGAGCAGGAATACMGGTGGATCAGGGTGGAGGGCGGCAGGGATTCACTGGCCATGGGGACAGGTCCGGGCACCCACCCTTGGAGTGAACCCCCCTTTCCCACCAGGAGCGGGTCCGGAGAACCAGGGCCCGCTTTGATTTTCCTGGAGCTAATTAGCAGGCGGATCCAATCAGAGCAGCCATTAGGGTGCCACCATGCCAGCCTAATGCTGGTGCCGCCGGGTTGCCGGAGCCGCCAGGCCGGGCGGCAGCTGGGATTACAGGACGGGATTAGGAGGTGGCTTTGGGCAGGAGCAGCGGGGCGGCCCTGGCCCTGCGGCTGCCCCGCGCCTCCTTCCCTTGCAGGACTCCATGTTCTCGCTGGCCCTCAAATGCCTTATCAGCCTCTCCACCGTCATCCTGCTGGGGCTCATCGTCGCCTACCACACGCGCGAGGTGCAGGTGGGTCCCGCCGCGGGCCGGGATCGGGGAGACCCGGCCGGGATGGGGGAGGCCCGGCCGGGATCGGGGAGGCCCGACTGGGATCGGGGAGGCCCGGCCGGGATCGGGGAGGCCCGGCCGGGATCGGGGAGGCCCGACTGGGATCAGGGAGAACCAGCCGGGATCAGGGAGACGCGGCCGGGAAAAGCGGAGTTTCCTGCCCGGGCGCGGGGCCAGGCGGCCGCTTCCGAGCGCCGGGGCCAGGAAGCCGGGAGGCCGCGCGGTGCCCGCGGCAGCGCCGCCCTCGGCCCCCTGCTCCGCTCCGAGCGAATATTGCAGCCGCCGGGCTGGGCTGCGATAATGTTGACCCCGCCGGGGCTGCCCGGCCTCCTCCGCGTGTTGCTCCCGGTGCAGCCGGTGCCGGGGACACGGCGGGGTCCCCACGGGGTCCCCACGCCCTGGCTGCATGGATTATTCCCATGATTTCTTGGCGTCGTCGTCAAATCCCTCCCTGTGCTGCCCGTCGCCCTGGGATGGGTGCGCGGAGCGAGCGCCTGCGTTTCGGGACCCGCYGTGTCCCTGCGGCCCCCCGGCATCGCCCTTCCCGCCGCGGGAAGCTCCGTGCTGCCGGCTCCTCGGCCGCCGAGGGAGGCGGATTGCGGCAGCCCGGCTCATCCCGCGCAAATCCCCGCTGGCTCTTTATCACCCTGTTATCTTCTAGGTGCTTCTAAAGGGATTGGGGATAATCTGCTCCGGGATCTTTGCCAGCTCGGGAGCGGGGTGATCAGGGCYGCAAAGCCGCCGGCGGGGGCAGGAGGCTGCGGCCTCACTCCGGAGGCTCTGGCAGAGCCGCATCCCCATTCCCATCCATGGCATCCCCATTCCCTTCCCCACGGTGCCAGCGGGATGCTCCCGAGCGGAACGTGCCGTCCCGGCACATCCCGGCCGCGCTCGCGGGCCGCCGGTGCCCGTGCCGGTGCCGCGGGGGCCGCTGCGCTCCGGGGATGCCAGGGATGCGCAGAGGCCTCCTCGGTACCCGGCCTCCCGGAGGCGGTTTCCATGGCAACGTGGAGCAGCGCTCCGCTCCGGAGCCGCTCCGGAAGGAGCCGCCGAGCGGGAGTGGAGCCGGCCCCGCCGGCCGGGGCTGCTGCAGAGCCCTTGGCGCAGGCCGGAGCTTTCCTGCCTTTTTTTTTCCTTTTTTCCTCCCCCCGCTCCTTTATTTTTAACACCTTTTTCCAGGAAGCGCCGCCCGGCGCTCACTCCGCACCCGCCGAGCTCCCTTGGCGGCTCCGAGGAGCGTCGCTTATAAACAGTGCCGTAAAACAAAGCGGCGCCGCGGAGCCGGAGCCGGCGCGGCCGGGATCCCGCGGGACGCCCCGGTGCCGCGCGGCTGGCTCGCGGGCTGCCTCCGGAGCGGCTCTTCCCGGGAGCGCTGCCAGCTGGTGCCGCCCCCGGCCGCGGCCGGGAGAAGCCCGGGGAGTTCCCAGCCCCGAGCGTGAGCACGGGAGGGTTGTTCCGTGGGCTCCGGAGGTTGTTCCGTGAGCACGGGAAGGTTGTTCCGTGGGCTCCGGAGGTTGTTCCGTGAGGACGGGGGTTGTTCTGTGGGCACCGGGGGTTGTTCCGTGAGGACAGGGGTTGTTCCGTGGGCACCGGGGGTTGTTCCGTGCTCAGCACTCCGTGCACCGGGGCCAGGGATGCTGCAGCGCCTGGAGCTGCTCTTTGGTGCCGGCAGCATCCTGGTGTTCCGTGATCCCGGCATTCCACTGYGCCAGCATTGCCCCATCCCAGCATTGCGTGCTGGCACCCAGGGAGGTCCGGAGCAGCCGCTTGCTCCCCGTGCCCTTTCCCACCGTATCCCACACGGATGCGGAGCCGCTTCCCCGCGTGCCCGTGCGGCGGCCGCTCCGTGACGGCGCTCCCGCCTCCGGCAGCTCTTTGTGATCGACAACGGGGCCGACGACTGGCGCATCGCCATGACCTACGAGCGCATCCTCTACATCAGCCTGGAGATGCTGGTCTGCGCCATCCACCCCATCCCCGGCGAGTACAAGTTCTTCTGGACGGCGCGCCTGGCCTTCTCGTACACGCCGTCGCGCGCCGAGGCCGACGTGGACATCATCCTGTCCATCCCCATGTTCCTGCGCCTCTACCTGATCGCCCGCGTGATGCTGCTGCACAGCAAGCTCTTCACGGACGCCTCGTCGCGCAGCATCGGCGCSCTCAACAAGATCAACTTCAACACGCGCTTCGTCATGAAGACGCTCATGACCATCTGCCCCGGCACCGTGCTGCTCGTCTTCAGCATCTCCCTGTGGATCATCGCCGCCTGGACCGTGCGCGTGTGCGAGAGGTGAGCGGGGCGGCGCTCCGCGCGGGATCCGGGATGCTCGGGGCTGCCGGGTGCAGCTTTGGGGATGCAACCCCTGGCTCTGCTCCVTGYTCCATGTGGGATTTGGGATAGTCTGAGGTGCAGGATGCAGCTTTGGGGATGCAACCCYCRGYRCYRCTCCATRTGGGATTYGGGATACTCMARGGTGCAGGATGCAGCTTTGGGGATGCAACCSTCGGTGCCACTCCATATGGGATTTGGGATACTCCAAGGTGCAGGATGCAGCTTTGGGGATGCAACCGTCGGTGCCACTCCATATGGGATTTGGGATACTCCAAGGTGCAGGATGCAGCTTTGGGGATGCAACCGTCGGTGCCACTCCATATGGGATTTGGGATACTCCAAGGTGCAGGATGCAGCTTTGGGGATGCAGCCCCTGGCTCTACTCCATGCTCCATGTGGGATTCGGGATACTTGGGGGTGCAGGATGCAGCTTTGGGGATGCAACCCCCAGCGCTGCTCCGTGCTCCGGGCGGGATCCGGGCGCTCGGGGGCGCAGCTCCTGGCCCGGCTCCCCACCGCCAGCCACTGCCATGACAACCCGGCATCCTGCAGCATCCCGCCAGGAGCGGCATGCCCGCACCGGGGTTGCCGTGGCGACGGGGCGCTCCGGGATGCCGGCTGCGCCCCCGGGAAGGGAGCCGCTCGGGGAGCCGCTCGCGCCTCGTTAGGCCTTACAAGTGGATTAGCTAAATCGCATTCGATCCCTCTAAGTCGTTGCAGCTGCCTGGGGAAACGAGGGGGTTCCGCAGGCGGGATCCAGCGCTGGGCAYCCGTGTGCAGGGATGCGACGGGCCGGGAAGAGCGGGAAGCGCTGTGGCCACGCGCTGGAGCTGYGTGCACGGGACGCACTGGGATTTATGGGGGGTGTCCGGGTGGCTCCTTGGGGGCTCCTTGGGGTGCCGGGTGGCTGCACGTGGCCCCCTGGCACCGAGGAGGTTTCCTCTGTGCATCCCAATGGGTGGAGGGGCTCCCGGGGGCTCGTTAAGTAGCTCTCGCTAATGAGAAACAGGACRGGGAGCGCGGAGCCGCCGTGGGATCCCAGGGATCCCAGGGAGCTGTGGGTGCCGGGAGGGAGCCGGGATGCAGGGTGGGATGCGGAGACCTGGGGGACGCAGGAGCCGGGAAGGGCGCACAGAGCCAGGAGAGCCCCTTGGAACGGGGGGACCCCCAGCCCGGGGGGACCCCCAGCCCGCGGGGGGGCGCCCATCCCAGGGGAATTTCCACTCCCCCGGGCCCCGGCGCTCGGGGGGGAATCGGCGCCAGGGTCCAAGCGGTTGCGTCCGCGCTCGGCGCTGGCGCCGACTCCTCTTCCGGCGGCTGCTCCAGCTCCTCTTCACGAGCTCCGGGAAACCTGCCCCCCTCCCCAGCCGTTCCGTCCCTCCCGCATCCCTTGGGATGAAACGGAGGGGACGTGTGTGCGGAGCCGCCGTGGGAGCTGGGCGCCTTTGCGTCTCCCATCATTCGGGGGTGCAACACCCCCCATTTCCACCCCAACCCCTCCATTTTCGCCCCAAACGCAGCGCTTCGGGCCCCCCTCTCCCAAGGAGCGTGCGTGCCGCAGCTCCCGCCGTTCCCCGGGAGCGGGGGAATTCGGCAGGACAAATCCCGGCTGCTTCACGGAGCCGGGGTCGGGGAGCTTGGCGGGATCCGTTTGCGGGGAATTGCCAAGAAMGCTCCAGCTGGTTCCCGTCCGCGGCCGGCGCGAGGGGGCGAAGCCGCCTCCRGCCCCAGCTGCGCTGCCGCGCCGGCCAGGAGCCGCCGGTCCCGTCGGAGCAGGAAGCGCCGGCGGATTTGGCCCAAAACGCCCCGATCCCGCGGGAGCGGCGCGTCCCGCTGACCCCCTCCCGTTCCAGGTACCACGACCAGCAGGACGTGACCAGCAACTTCCTGGGCGCCATGTGGCTCATCTCCATCACCTTCCTCTCCATCGGCTACGGCGACATGGTGCCGCACACCTACTGCGGCAAGGGCGTCTGCCTGCTCACGGGCATCATGGTGAGTGGCGCGGTGGCGGTGCCGCCGCGGTGCTGGTGCCGGGGCTGCCCGCGCCACGCGGCGCCTGTCCCCGCTGTCCCTCCCCGCGCGCAGGGCGCCGGCTGCACCGCCCTCGTCGTGGCCGTGGTGGCCCGCAAGCTGGAGCTCACCAAGGCCGAGAAGCACGTGCACAACTTCATGATGGACACGCAGCTCACCAAGCGGGTAAGGCTGCGGGGCCTTCCTCCTCATCGTCATCCTCCT